CGGATTATAATTTTACCGTCTACCAAATTAGAAACAAGTAATGTATTTGTAGCAAGCAAACAGAGAGCATTTTACGCCCTGAGGCATCAAAATTGAAATGTTTTGTGACATTTTATTATAATTGAAGAGGTTATTTCCAACCATACGGAGAAATATTTCGATTGGAATTCAGTCATCTGAAATTTAACAGCTAAAATTAACGTCGTCAACAGCAATAGAGTTAAGATTTTTGTTCACATTCACGATGAAGGAATTTTCGGAGATAATCAATAGTAGAATTTTGACTCATTGTATTTTTTTAAATGAGTTACATCTTTATTTAGGCACATGAGATCAGAAACTAACCTGGGAGAATTTGAGCATTGTTACTTTGCAAAGCGAACGTTTCTCTCTCAGAGTAACCACAGAATAACTTCGGTGTCCATTTATTGAATTACAGTTTCTTAGTGATTAAGTATACTATAAGGCTTTTTTAATAACTAGTCGGTTTAGAAATCGTCGTAATAATGATTATTTCGCTATCGCGAGTGGCTGGCGAACAATATATTGTTCCAACCTAATGAAAGAACTCAGAGTTTGGGAGAACGAATGATCAGGCTTACAAATCATTTTTACATTTTATAATAAATTAAACAAATAACTGCATACAAAAGAAATTGAACCACTGAAAGACCAACAATATTTTGACGATTTCCACGTAAGTGTCCAAATCAATTGAGATATTTTTTGTAAAGAGCATACCTTTTTATTATGGAACCCAAGGACTTCCTATAAACTTTCTTAGCGGTAGTCGGTTACACAATCTGTTTGTTATCGCAGTCGCATCAGAAATCACCATCTCCTTCTACCATATGGATGAAAATGACTAGCAGCATTACACGAAAATATAGATGGCTTCTGAGCCAGCTGACGACTAGATTTCTGAATCAATTATATACGAAACCATGTTTTCGAAATGCCCTACGAAAAATTCTCAACCTCCTTATAAACTATTCCACGAAAGGTCTGGCGAAAATTTCGCTATTAAAGCGGATGGAAGATCAAAAACCCAAAGAATCACTAACCTTCATGCTCTACTGTATAGTTCATTTTAAACCGACGGGTTATATCTCTTGCTGCTTGGCAACTCTAGACTCACAATAGATTCGGGCGATGAATGATCTGAACGATCGTTCACCGCTGATTCATCCTCGGTAAACATGACAGCATTTCGAGAGCAAATCATAAAATAAACTCAGAACCTATATACAGCATGTCTTATTATCGCGAGCATGCGATCCTTGATCATTGTCAACAGACTCACTTCCAGTAATGAAGAATCTTTTTTTGAAAAACGTGACCACATATTTGAAGATTTTAATAGTTTGAAGCATTTCTTTGAGACACTCTCATGAATACGGGTATTTGGATTTCTCATTTCTGCTATTACAGAATACTTTACACATATGACGATGAGCCCTTGTTTAAATTTCCTCAAAAATTCTTTCACTATGCATGAAAACAGCAATTAACTGCTCGCAGGATGAATCTAAATTAACGTTACAGAATTTCGATTACACGAATAGTTAGAAACTAACTTTACTTGCTGTGCCGGGAAAGCAGGTAAAAGAAGTCATCTTAACGCCCTCAAACTACGGGGAAAAGGAAAATAAGACATACTTAAAGATATCAGCATCTCTCAAATTTTAAAAGTGAAACAGGAACAGACGCGTCTTTACGGAAATTTTCACATACAGCAGTTAGAAGAACATATCGGACTGATAAAGTTTACAGGATAAAACTAAAAATCAGACGCAGATCACGACGAAAGAGTAAAACAGGTTTGGTTTAGAGTTTACCAGGTCATGTCGCCACTGGAGGTGACAATTTGGTTGTCGTCGAGGAACCGGCAGCACGAGAGGTAGCCGGTGTGACCGGGCAGTTCCCTGGAGACACGCACGTTTCCTTCCCGAGTTTTCAGTGAATAGATGCTACATATGTTGTCTAAGCCGCCGCATGCAACGTAGCTGCCGCTCGGGGCGTACGCACAAGTCATAACCCAGCTGCTGCGCAGAGGTATGGCATGAACCTTATTCGTCGTGTAAGAATCCCAAACGATCAGCTTGCCGTCCTGGCTAGCAGATACCAAGTTACGGCTGTCGGTAGCCCAATGCATGGCGTAGATCTTGGCCAAGTGACCTCGCAAGGTGCGCCTCGTCCGCATCTGGATGCGGCCGATCGGCTCCAGGTTGGCAGCCACCGACGCCAACGTTGTGTCATTTGCCGCCTTTCTTGCCTCCCGAATTTGGTTCTTTAGCTGTTCCGCCTCCTGGCGGAGCGCCTCCAGCTCGTTCATTTGAGGCATGGTGGTCCTCCGGCTTGCCGACTGCTACTCGTTGTCCTTCTGCTGCTACCAAGCTCTGCGCTCGTCGGGAACTCGATTCTCGTCTGCACGTCCAGCACCGCGAACCTCGAATCTGGATAGGGCGACTGGTCGCAAAACGAACGCAATCACGATCGTATCGGTCGGTCGATGGTGGCTGTCTTCGTCCTCCGGCCAGTCCACTGCTTCTTCGTCGTTGTTGTCTGGCGCTTCCACCTCTTCTTCAGCTGATCAATGAAGAAACAAGCACTTCAGCACAGATTCTAAATCATACTTATGACGACCGCACCCCGCCAACAAAATGCAAAGTAAACACAGAACATTACGACGTTTCTTGCATCTTCACAAATGTCATATTATGCGTTCGGCGTCACCTACGAAATTCCTATAAAAAATACACAAACTTCGACTAACAAGCAGAACATGCCAAGAATGGTCCCTCAACACAGCTGTCGTAGGAATTCATAGACAATCATACAGCGAAGAATTCTACCTGCGGGCCATATAACGTACGGTAGGATCAGATTCTGAACAACAAGAAAAACAAGATAACTCATACCGCAAAACCACATAATGGCCAAGATCAAGCAAGGAATTCAGAACACACTTCCATTTTATCATTTTTCTCGTATAGACGTTATTTTGATGAGTACTTTGATTCTCATTTAAAAAAGAACAGTACGTTGTATCACAAATAACAATGTTAATCCATCAATCCGTGATGATTTTTGGGCTAAAATTTACTGCATACATATTACAAAAACATAGAATATTTATAATAACCGTACTATGCTTTCTTCCCCGTTTCTATAATTTTCATATCCTGAAAAAGCGTAGTAAATTACAATGCAATCCTTTTAGGGCTTCATTTACCTGCCTCCGAAAAATAACATTTCAACTATATTCAAGTTCAGCGTCTATGACCAACATCAATTTAATCGATGCGAATAATTCTGGTGCTGTGAGACAAATGCTTGGTAATTTCATTGCAATTTTTTAAATCATGAAGAAAAAAGCTATCTTAAGATTAACAGTTTGTTCAATTTCCAAGTCCTATTTAGTTCTGTTGTTTTTGTAACAAAGATATTCAGCCAAAAAAAAGTACTGATATGAATTTAGATAAAATTAAAGCTTAAATTCATGCCAATTACCGATATTCAGCTCCCACTGGTGGCGTCGTTCTCGTGGAGCCTTTTCTGACGTGCCATAATGGCATCGCGCTGTCTGCCACCTCTTCTCAGAATGGGTAGCGACTTCGTTGCTGACTGGTAGCTTCGTCGTCGTTCCGTCGGTCTTCGTCAGCCGTTGTTGTGTTGGTACGCCCCCGGCTGGCAGAGGCAATGAGCAGGTTCTGATTGCCGACTTTTCGCAGTTCGCATCAGTCCCCCAACAGCCTGCATGGCCCTAGATAACCCGGACGACGACCGAGCCGGTATGATTTTCGATGGCGTCAATACCATGAGTGGAAGGTGGCTAAATTTTACGGAGACTTGCCACGGCCTCCAACCATCTTCCTTTCTCATCCGGGCTTGGGACCAGCAATGGCATGGACATGTGTTGCGAACGCCGCTAGAAAGGAAGGCTAAGCAACTCTTCCTTGCAAATCCGACCGGCAGAAGTCGCAGGGGAAGGTTAAGATTAACCTGGTGCAAATATATTAAAGGAGTCTGTTCCAGACTCTGGCACAGGATCGGGAACGTTGGAACTCTGTCTGACGCGTCTGCCTCCGCGACCCGAAAGGAAAAGCGGCGATGGAGGATGAAGACGAAGAAGTTCATGCCAATATCTGTTTCAACTTGAAACTTATTCATGACATACATAAGTATAAGACCTAATTTCACTTTCAAGAAATGAATTACATGTTAATTGTCAAGTTTTTCGATATAGTATTATAAGCATTTAACATGACAAAGGAAAACCGTGACGCTAGCATCATAAAAGATTTCGTCATGCAAAAGGTGGACGACAGCTGCACCAGACATGACGGTACTCCCAAGTGGCTGGCCACCTTGAGAATAGCAAACATTGTTGTTCTTGAAGAGTGGTTGAGTACTGCTTGCACTTGGTTTAAAATAGTTATATAATTAACTGAAAGAAATAAATTGATATTTGCAAACTTTAATTGATGCCCGTGTCTAAATGCACATGAAAACTTTTTCATAGGAACATCTACTACTCTTGGGCTGTTATTTCTGTTTGTAGTTTAGATTGGCCACAATCAAGCTCTATGAAAAGCGCAAATTTGTGTTAGTAACTACAAATTTTCTTCAATAATGAACTCACTCAACTGCGCTTGTGTATCCGGAAAAACCAGCCGGAGAAACGGATGGCCGGTCACTGACCTGCGGAAAGCAGGGTCAGCATGATGCTTGTTGGGGTTATGCCAAGGCATGCGAGATGCGTGCAGCTTCCGGCCGTCATCCGCCTTGAACCACAGGAAATCGGAAAATGTCTAAACGTAAATTTAAGTAACTTCAGTAGTGGTTATTATTCATTCAGATGAAAGGTGGGTAGAATCAAAATTTTTCAAGTTTCTGGTTTAGTCGGACACAGTGCTTGCATTTATCCCGTAACTGTTATCCTAAAGTTTGTTTGATCTTATGACCATATTACACGTGAATGTTATTCCTTAAAATATTCTCTTAAGAGCGATCATGATGCTTAAAACAATACGATAATCTGATTAAGATTAGCATCTATCCAAAATGTATGTATCCTCTGGCAAACATATTCAGGGAATGAGGCACTGATTTATCTACGAAATAGCCCTTGTGTTCGTCCTGCAATGCAAATGCACCACTGTTGCAAAATGCACATTCTTTGAATTATAAGTACTGTATTACCCTGTCTGATCTGCAAGGTTGTTGAGAATTTTCCTTCGTTCTTAACCAAAGTCGATCTCTCCTATGTTTCTAAATCTAGTACATAAAGATTCTTTTTTAAATTCCATTTATTGCGAATAAAAAAGTTTTATTGCAATTGGTGCTGAAAATCGTAAATGTTTTAATTCCCACGGATAACTGCGAAAATGTGTATTTATTGGCCAGAACCTGTTTCGTATCAAAGCCTTTCACATAAAATTAAAAAGGAAGCATTGTTCAGATAATTTATATTCTGTCATGACTCAGAGAATTTTTCATCCTTATTTTTAATCGCAGTAAAAAGTGTATTAAGTTAATTACCTTTAGTATGTATATACGTGAGTGAACTTGAGCTTTTGAAGTCCTATTTATAGCTGGAGCTATGCTTTTTAAAGCATTTGTAGTCAAAGATTAGTCAAAGGTCTACGGAACCTGTGCCTTTCACTTAAATAAATAGTGAGCATTGAAAAAATGATTTAAGATATTATAATACAATCTGGCATGAAAACGATTTATTGCCACAACTTTGTCATCACAGAACAAAACTTCATTTCGCATTTGATATCAGACATAAGGCAAAATAATATCGATTGTGGCGATGTAAAATGTGACGGATTGAAACCCGCATAAACGGCAGATAATCACGATAGTGATTTATGAATCCAACAAATGGGCAACCTTAACAGAACGCTGAAGATTTCAGCATGTAAATCAGTGAAGAATACTTTGACTTGGCAACCAAAATGAGATGGCGAGTTGAAACTGAATATTACAATGATGCTTAAATTGATGGTTTTTTCATGCGGCATTGCATTGCTATCCATAAAACAGCCATCTTATGTGTCAGATGGAAAGAAGTGGCTATTGGCTAAGTCAAAACCATTAGAATTTTGCTGTAAGGTACGATTTCTACTCGTCATAAGATTGATGGTGACAGACAGGCTGTATTATGTCCAGGCACAAGCTATTCTCAAGTATCGAAAGAAAACAAGTACCAACACCTAAACAACTTGCGACTGAGTGTCAATAATCTCTTTCAAATCTGATAAGGACGTATAGACTTCATCAGTTTTGCGAATCAAGACCATAAATTCACTTTCTCCACTTCAATGCAATGATTTCTGCAAAATTTGAAGATTCTTAATATTCAGTCATTTTAGAAGATCGCTTATTCCTTTGCGTTGCGGAAGCAACATCGTCAGTTAGAATTTCCAACGTTCTCTATCCTGCGATTACGTCTGAATTTTGACAGAAAATAGCATGGAACATCTAGTTGAGGCAGTCGGCCCAGGCCATTCTCGGCATTCCTTGGGGTTTTCGGCTAGTCGTTTAAGTAAGCAGCAGCTGTGTTGCCTTCCTTTCTGAAAGCATTCGCAATGCATGCCAATACAATCGCATCTGCTACTATTCAGCTTAAAATATAAATCTTTCTCATCTTCGAAACATCCATTTTTAATCCTAGACCAGCCTGCTACCCAATCATAACTTAGCTTTAATCGCTACTCAGTTTTATAGCTCTACTTTATATTAAGGAGGTGCTTCTTTAAGATATCCATTACACTGTACTGATTATCCGTCTATTGTCAAATTTGTCAATCCGAACTGCATTCATAACGCAGCATGGCTGAGTACCTAGTACGCTCTGGCATAACGCCCAGACCATCAATATGCCATTATTATTCGCAAGTAAATGACATGATAGCAGTTTTTCGATTGATTGCACTGAGGAATAGTGGCGTGAATTCCTAGCACAAATGAATTAGCGGCTAAAATAATTTTTCCCTTGCGCTATTCCAGCTAGGCCGGCACATGGCATGTAAATGATAATTAGACTACCTCGCCAAAAATATTAAAAATATCACGCAGCATCAAGTAATCCTACAAGCACGTAATACTGTACTATGTTGACTAGTCAGTCAGGTAGAACGTACCTTGACGATAACTAAGTGAACCTCGTATCTGCAACAGTATTATTGTAAGATCTGTAGCGTCTATAAACAGTGATTTTCATGCATATACCAGTAATCAGTATGACAAAGTTTGATGAAGGGTACCTTGCAGTCACAATCATCTACTTTTTCAAGAATGGTGCGCGTCAAAAATTAAATTCATTCACTGGATTAAAGTTTTTTATTACTAAAAATGTATTTCAGTAAATTCTGCAATTTTAAGGTAATATAAATATCTACCAAATGATGCCGTCTTGATACACCTAATGATAGATTAAAAATCTGTTCGAATTCAAATATGACTCTTTAATCGTACTCCGTCAGAAGTCGCGAGACAGGATGATTTTATCGACACCTCGCTGATCAGTCATTGTCACATACTAGAAACATTCATCAATTTTCTGTCTGTTTTTGTTCTCCGCGTGAACGTTTTTCTGACTTTAAAAAACGGTAATCCACTGAACTGTGAATGTATATATCACTAGCAAAATATCTATCAGTTAATTTTCGGCATCTATAGAATCGGGCTACGCAAATGAACATAAACATTACAAACTGATTTGTGACAAAGTCGCTTAGAATTATGCTCAGATCTGAAATGAATACGGTAGCGCAGTCAAATGTTACAGTTCATGAAACATCTTTCGTAATGGCAAGAAGTTGTTCTAACGAATAAAACGATGCGAAATGCATCTGGCACTGCAGGTACTCTAATACCATCGGACGGTGGAGATTTAAATGTCACCCATCGGCAGCTAAAAAATATGGTTGCTGCATGACGCTAAAGCTGTTCCTGGAACTGAACGTAAACCTAGAGAACTAGTCTGCACCGAAAAGTAAGGATAGAATGAAAAGTTTTGGTGCATGAAGTTTAACAAATTTTAGAAGCCTTGACATCTCGATTTTTTCAAGAACTTACTGCGATATTCAATCATGGAGGGCGTCAGCATATTGCGGAGCAATGTTCGACCGAACTTTTATTACATGGACAATGTTGACTTATAAATTTTAACCTGGATGAACCTTATTAGATGAGCGGGTTGTGTTATTGACATCAAGAAAACTGGCAATCAAGAAACCCTTGCAGAAGGTTTGTCGATTCATCGTACAGGGCATCGAATAACGCAGATGTTTGTACTTCATTAAAGATTCTTTTCGCTGCGCCCACAGTAGCACTCTTAAGGCACAGTTGATTAGCTAGTTAGCCTTCTTATGTACACAATCTTCCTCGGTTATAAATGCTAGGTTGATTGATATCTGATTTTAACTAGTATATTCATGACTTTAAATTGCATAGTTTAACTCTAGCCGTTTATTATATCATTTGAAACTTTCGTATCATGCCGGTGATAGCACTTCAAGTTTCTTCTCTTGTCAGTGGGGAGAATTCACATACATATAGATGTTCTACCATAAAAATATTTGGGGACTCCTTTATCAACAGAGCAAGCCTTGACTGGTATCTGTTTATTACAGCATAATCGTCTGACTGAAGGAGTGCCCCTCAGAAATGGCATTTCGCACTGCAAATACTCCACTCCATTCATAATCGAGGATTTAAAAGACTATCCAAAAAGTAGGCGGTCTATGAAACTACGGAGAACAAACTTGATACAAAATAATTTTTCTTCACACTACAACAATAATCTGGACTAAGCGAAGCCTGAATAGCAGAGCTACTTTAGTAAAGTTCTGAAACTCTCTCCGATTTATGTTAAGGGGATGTTTTGTGAATTAAAGGATCATTCTCGAAAGCCTGAGGTCTTTTTACGTATTATATTCCCGTTCAGCACGTAATCATTTGCAATCTCTGCGTGAGAGGGAGAAATGCAGAACAGTTCAAATACGATTTGGTTTGCTGTCATTCCTTTTCGGCTACCTTATATGAAGACGATTATGGCCATTTTGATCTATGGCGAAATTTAACAGCTCAGGCTAAACGTAGGCCTAGTTATGCAATTATGCTGAATAAAAGTTTCTTTTTGAATTCCGTAGATGTTGCAGATTACCCTTGAATACCGGGATGCCACTGCATTTATATACTTGTCAAATGTTTTAGGTGATTTTCGGAGACTGTTGACTGGCTCAACAAAGATGCGGGTTTCCATCCATATACCTTAAGTGCTACCATACATTAGACGCTACTGGTACTATGCGAGGACCACTCGAACCTGAAGATAACCACAGAACATCGCTAGCATTGTTGCCTATGTATGCATTTCCAGATAAAAACATTTTACGTGAGGCTCAAAGACGTCGCTGATAGACCAGACAACGATGCAGTTTATCATTTATGCATTGCTGGTGCTGTAATACATAAGAGCTACGATTTGTTCAAGGGGCCTTGTAGACCACTGTTGAGGATGCAATTACACAATATAAATGAGAGTATTTATTACTTCTATCGGTATCAGTGAAAGTTTAGCTTGATGACCTAGCCCTAGAGAACCTGCACTACTTCGATGATTGCCTGATGTCTACAGAGAAGTCATCTGAAGTTACATTAGATTGGCATTCTAGTCCATTAGAGCTGCCTATAACATATTACCCTAGAAAACAGTAGCTTTAAATTATTTTCCAGAGCCATGAACAAAATAAAACTTACCACTGTTGCCAGCTTTAAATTACCAAATTTTACTGCTGGAGTATATTATATCGATACGCGGTACTGGTATAAAATAAATAATACAGTACTCAAAGTGATATTTTTCGGCTACCGCCATGACCGTCGACTCGTCTTGATTTATTTTATGTAGCGTTCAAGAAGAAATACTCCCCACATAAGGTTAGCAGGTTGCGATATTTTTGTTCACTGGTTGATAGCGAGGCTTTTTCGCACCAACAGGTTCGTGAAATAAAGTAGTAGGCAGCACGACCCTCATATTCGAATCCATGCATTGGACAACAAAACATAATCAACTCGTTTTGCTACTATTTGTCGTGAGCAAAGAAGCCTTATACATCTCATTAAGAGAAACGCACTGACAAGGAAATCGAAATTACAGTATCTAAAAAATTTCTTACAGCTAGAAAAGTAGAAAAATTAAGACCACACTGATATGAAATATTCGATAAAGATGTCCTAGCCGTTTTAAGGTCGAATAGCGCCGCAGTACAACGACCAACGAATCCTGTTTGATATCTGAAGTTCTCCTCTACCGATTAGCTCAACTGGCTACTTGCATATATCAGATTAATATTTAAGACTGCTGCTCATCAGAAACTTTCAGTCAGTCAGTAACATTCAATTACCGCTTATTATTTCGAGTCGCGGAAACAGACGCATCACTGACGCCAACGTTGCCGATTCCACCACATCGCAGCCTCTGAACTTTGGGCAGCTTAGAGAAAAACAAGAGTCTGTCGAGACACATGTCCCAGGTCCAAAAGCCGATCGGTTGACGAAATAAGAGCTATTTTATTTCCGCCACTATCGGCCCCACACCCGGGTGAAGAAGCTAAAGATTTGGAGGTCGTGACGAAGACTGCAGTAAAAGTTAACCACTTGTCCGTCACGACTTTGTCGCTAGAGAACTGTAAATTGGCTCGGTCGTCGCCTGGATTACTAAGGGCCGCACAGGCCGTTAGGGAACTGAGGTAGAGTGCGGATAGTCGACGATCAAAAACCTTTATAAACAACAATTCGCAAACACACACTCAATGAAACGGCACAAGCAAGGATACAGAGAGCAATGTCGAGAAATCGAGTATATTTCAAAAACATCGTGAAGACACCGAGGCGATGCGAAATAAAAGTTTAATAAATATACTTTTGACTAGGTTTATCATACACACAAAACTTTATAAAATAATACCGCATAAATTTGAATAAAATGGCATAAAGTAGACCAGCTATGACAAAGAGCGGATGATCACTTCTCGAGAGAGAGTGAGAGAGAGATTGCGTAAAAAGCGTATATAAGAAGAGAATTATAAAACACCGCTCAAGCTGCTAGAAGAAGAGGTAAAATTGGAACGGCGAACGGCGACAGAGGCTAGAGAAGCTTTCGAGAGAATACCTTCTGCCGATGCGGGCAGCACGAAAGCACCATCTGCGACATGCAAGTTCACCGGCAGGTTGGTGCGATGGCTAATGCGAAGATTGTCGCAGTTTCGAAGAAGAAAACCACTGACGACGACTGTCCACAAACGAATGATGAAGAACACTTTAAAACGGTACGCATGACGGACGAATGGCGGTGTTGGCGTTACTTTCGTAGGGCCATGAGGGGACGATATCCGGCGGCAGCACGACGACGACAATTTCGTATCGCGCTAAAATCTTCGTCTGCTCGCCACAGGCAACGTGAGGCGACAGCACAGCACGATCTACATCGAAAAGTCACAGACGCATAGGACAGTCACACGGATCCGACGGCGGTATCGACAACGACAGGAACATCGCTACTCCTGCTGAAGCCGGGGTGGGAGGGGTTCGTGAAGTCGGCGCTGAAAGGCTTTACCAGATAGCGGTCGCGGCTGCAAGAAGCTGAGGAGCAACGTTCTGAGGTCATACGCTTGACAGTTGACTTTTGCCGAAAGTGTATGTACAGCACAACAGTGACGAACACTATGATGATGATCAAAACGGTGACGCCGCCAGCGATACTCGCCGTTTCAATCCTTTGCTGTACGGCCAGGTAACGGTCGGAAGTATCCAAATATTCACATCGGGCTCCAAAATATCCCATCTTGCAACTAAAGCAACAATAAAACATAATATACAATTCATATGAACTAAATTCAAAAAATTTCGTATCTGATCAAAATAATGCTAAGCCTTCATATGGGATCTGTTTAATCACCCTGTAGAGCGAGCACCCGTAAAAAATCTCATTGCAACTGATACTCTTGGCTAACCAAACCATGGCATGACTGTATGAGATACGGACGATATATATATAGTTCAAGCCAAATACTAACCATCTGCGAAAGATAACGCTGAAAATGCAAAAGTACGTATGAAAATAAGCGAAGGAGTCACCTGTAACTATGTGACATGCAACTAAAGTTAGACCTGTAGATTTCACGACGTATCTGTGAGAACGTTCAATCTCAAGATATACCCCTGGTCTGAAAAGTAAAGTTGATAGCTGATTAAACGCGGAAGAGAGTTTACAATATTATTCGTCGGAAATAAATCAGCGCTACAAAATCCACTTTGCGCCTTTTCATTAAACAGTGCATTCGTCCATTTTTACCTATGCCTCCACTATCATGTTTACTGGACTTCTCAAAACCGGTCTCCGTGCTCTGCGCCAGTCTCCTATCATGTGGCGGCTTCGATTTTCAAGTTTCAGTTACAGAACTTGTACAACATATCGTAAAAGATTGCCCATACTCAGACAAGGGAATTTTCTCCAACAACAACCATCCACTTCATCCGGTTTTGTTATCTTGAATATTCCTACGCTGTGGTGCAAGGACATATATAGCTAGTACAGTGTCGAATTAAACAGACGCAATTCAGCCAGTCCAGCCTCGGCTCATATTTAAAGAACCAAGAGTTTAACGTGCGCTTATGAATCTCGTTTATTTTGAGGCTGTTCTTCTACGTTGAAAGATATGACCAAATAACATACCTACAAAGAAGATAGACAGACAACAATAATGTTGATGCGACGAAATGAACCAAACAGTGAAATATTGACGCTAGAGAGATGATTAAATCAAACGGAGAAACTTACGTAAATAAAGGGATTGAAGCTGCACATAGAGATCGCGATGAATATATGACGAAGGTGACTCGTGACAACGGTGACGAAGGTGCAAAATATCTTCATGATCAAGGTGGTGAGTGTTAACGAAAGCTGATGTTGGAAATAAAGACGATTTGAACGATGATCATTATTATTACGATTATGAAGTGTTAATAATTACGACTATGGTGACGGTAGAAGAAAGTCTTGATAATTATGACTGACGAAACGAGGATCATGATGATGGCAAAAGCGATGGCAAAGGAGTTGCTGATTATTACCGTAGTGATGAGAAGACTATGTTGATCTTGGCAATGATGATGATGATGAGAGATGAGGAAGAGGATGCTAGATGTGAAATTTGTGATCGTAACAGTGCTGATCATGACGGTGTTAATAGATTAAACAGGATATATGACGAAAATAGAGCATCAAATCGGTATCTTATAAACAGATGATGTAGTTAATCGTTCGTTTCAAATTACACCATCAACCAACATTTAAACTTCTTAGCTGCAAAGGTGCTACACTGAGCAGTACTTACTCGCAACTGTATGAAATACTGTCGTCGATAACCATCTTCACGCACGTACCGCCGTTCATGCAGTACAACAACAGGAAATCACCCGAGCAATTGTGCCGGATCTGGTTGATGGTCGGCGACCATGTCGGACGAGGGTTGCGCGGTTTTGGCGACGGCCTTGTGCTACAGGCTTCTTAAAATACAGGCGCTTGTGAGAACACGTGAAAAACAACAACTTTATGTTCCACGCCAGATAATCTATACCGAACGATTACTGAAAGTACATGGTAAAGCGTCGGGAGTAACACTAAACAGAGCACTTTTAAGTACCCATTAAAATAGTGGAAATGTACTGGATCAGCAGAATCATCGTCACATGAAGAAAATTATTTCGCACGATTCAGACAATCACTGGTGTAAAAATACATAATAACCTACTTCCTGTCTCTGAGCCTAAAATGTGACCACTCATGCTAGCGTAGTTCAGGATACCGAACTTCAACGATGAGGATATTCCTCAAGAAAAGCTTCCGTGTGAAGTACACAATCGACAATAACTAAACCAGTCAACTGATTTTCAAGTTCAACGACGGGTAGTTCTGTTCATGTGAAAGATTAACACTAGAAACGGATGCAAAGAAACGAACGCCTAACGTGGTCGTCGTAACGACAACCCAAGCAACCAAGGCTACGCTATTGCACGTGACCGCATTTACTACTCGACTAGAGAAACGACGCGATGACGATTTCAGTGTCGATTTCTACGTAAGTTTGCAGTGAAGACAGTTTTCACCCTAGAAACTGCCGCTTGGAAGTACTAACGTGGGAGGTCGATCTGTTTGGAGAGTACAATACAAAACAGTTCTTTGTTAACAGGAACGACGGTAGTAAAAATACAATTGAATATCACGTCGGTTCCTTTGTGATCCTTACGGCAAGAGTAGGTCATGTTAATTTAATGAGAGCCCTCATCGTAACCGAGTGTCGCCTAGAGCCGATCACTCGAATTTAGACTTCTGCCACAGCCAGGTGCAACTCCCTTTCACCGGCACAACTTCAAAATCAAAGCCT